CATGGCTTAGGCCGTGGCTCAAGCTATAGCTTAAATTGCAGCTCTAAAGTGTATCTCAAGCTATGGTTCTATCAGCTTGATCTGCCTCAGCACCATTATACAGCTAGAGCCAGCTTAAACACTTTTAATATAAACCCTAACTCTAATCCGTTAAAGGTTGATTTTTATTTTGAATTTTATACCTGATCTTCAGACTGGTTGAACACCAGTGGTTAATAAAGAAGTCAGGGAAATAAATGGGTTATTGTCGCAAAGAATATATCAAAGGATATACTGTATAAAAATAAAACAATAAGAAACTAAATTTCTATAAATCTTTGAATTTCTAGTATTCAAAACAAATGTATAATAAATAAAGAATAAATTAGAAAAATAACACTAAATATTCAATAAGAAAAGCTCGCTTATTTTAAATCAGGTTCTGATGGGTAAATAGTGTGCAGCAAGACATTGTGCATTTTTATACTTTATGAAAATTTGTTCAATTCAAAACATTATTAACGAGTCGATTTTCCAAAAACTTCGAATTTATGAAGTGATATGAAAATAAAAAATTTTGGTTTAACGACAATTGGCTTAAAAAATCAGAAAATATGCATATTTCGAATATTTTTAACAGATATTTTGTTTTGTAGGGATGTCGTATAATTTTTTTTATTAAATGGTCTGCTAACAACTCTATTGATTAATTGGTTTTTATAATAAATATACAAGTCGGTCAAACCGTCAGCATCCCTACACACAATGTATACTAGACCAAACTTTAAACATATGTAACACACATTAGCATACTCTAAATAACGTGAATGTGATCGAAATAATACAAATACTCAATATTTGCATCATAATTTCGTTAATAAAAGCTTAAATTCATGTCTGAATTATGTCTAAATAATTATGAAGTAGAAACATCCTTGTAGTATTTAAACAATTCAAATACTTATAAAGAAAAATTTTTCGATTCTGGTCTGTTATTTTCATTTTTCAAAATACAAAAATATAAAGTCTGAAGATTTATTTAGACCTAGCGTTGCTTATTTTAAGGCCAAATTCGAAAATCCTCTGCACTAATTCCATAGTTATACAAAGAATTTTTGGCCCTATTCCAATCATTAAAAATGGTTTGAATATTAATAGGTTTCAAATCAATATCACCTTTTGATGAATTTTCAATTATTTGTTGTACACTGGTAAGATGTTCAACATGTCCTGTCCAAAATTTTTCGAATTTCTGAACACTTGATTTAAATGTCTCAACATCTTCAACGATCTTGCTAACGTATTCGACTTTTTCATAAATTTCATCAGCTTTTCTGGTTTTATTTTGAGCAGACTTATTAATCTTTTCTTCTAATATTTGACCGAACATAGAGCCAGCACACATACTCGCAAGAACAGTCGACAAAAACACCACACCACCGTCAAATGGAACCATATAAGAGCCTACACCAACTCCAGCAATAATGCCAACAAATACACCAAAAGAGCCACCTAAGGCTACACATTCTGCTTGTGCATACTTTGCTTCTGATTGCAAATTTAAAGCTTCCCGATTAAGATCAAATTTCCGAATCTTAAATTCACGTATTCGATCCTCCAAATTATCTGAAACATTTGCTAAAGTTTTATTTATATTATGATAAGCCATA